AATTGGGCTGTAGTCTACATAGCACCAACATACAGGAGTATGTCACTACCTGTGTGGCTTCAATTATCAGAGCCAAATGAAGACTGGTACCCAAAAGTGATGGTGAGGTGGAACCATATGTCTCCCCATGTTCTTTTGTAAGAGTGAATTTTCCCTCAGTGGCTATTCTATTAATAACCTCTGTAGTTAGATTAGAAATAAAGTGTGACTGTGTTTCTGTTCTTTGAGATCCAGTTCTGGGCCAGTGCAGAAAACTGTTATGAAAGTCCAGGGGACAGGCTTAACAAGGCTGGTGGCCACTGCCATTCCCCAGCCTTCCCTCAGTTATGACTGTCTAAAGGTCTTGGAATAACATAGAGAAAACCTTTGCTTATTTATTGATTCACATAGCTCCAGCTCACAGCTATGGAGAATAAACCTTCAACACACAGCAAAGATGCAATAACCCCTCTTGTCCAGGAATGGACAACTTCATATTTGTATTGTCACTCTTTCCTCACCTCTACGATACTTCAAAGGATTCGTTTCTCATTTAGCTTTCCCCAAATGTCACTCTTACATGCTCCCAAATGTCCCACTTCTGTTTGCCTTCATTACATCATTGGAATATACTGGCATAGCTCTGAACAAGCCCAGTCCAAGCTTTTAGAGGTGTAGACTTCTCCATGGTCCTGGTAACAGCTACCATGCTTTTATATTGATGTCTTGGTTTGTTGGAAGATTACGCAGATTTAGCATTTCTGTGTCCTCCCAGTGGAATGGATTAACCCTTCTGATAACCAGTGATTGCCACCTGAATCTCTGCTCCACAAGGATTCTTCTTGTCAGTTCCTACACTTCCTGAGATAAAATTCTTGCAAAATAAATAAGGGTATACATTTGTATTGCAAAGGTGATTTTCTGAATCCATTGAAACCCATTCTTGAATCTGGAGCTGCTGCTGCCCATCCACTCACCCAATACTGTTTTTCCCAGTTTCTGTCTTCTGTTATTTCTGCTTCAGGTTGACCTCGTGGCTACCATAACAGCTAGTAAGTGGAGAAAAGGGGACAGATGCAAGAGATAATAGAGGTTGAATCAAAAGGATTGGCAACTGGTTGGATCTTGGGAGGGTGGGTTAAGATAAAACAGGAATAGTTAAGGATGAACTCAAAGTTGTGAACTTCAGTAACAGAAATGAGGGGGAGGGGGACTTGCTGGAAAGGAGCATGTTTATAAAGGAAGGAAACAGGTTCTATTTCAGATGTGTTGCATTTGGATCATTGAGCGTTCATCTGGTGATGTGAGATAAGAGAGATATTTGAGCTGGTTGGGTTTCTTTCTCTGAACTCTAAGAGATCTCTCCTATTTCTTAGTGGAGTATGAGAAAGAATAGACCATTGGTAACTACCTTCCTCTCCTACTTCAAGTAGCGTTTTGTTTTGAGGCTAATGCACTAACCTCATTTGATACTGTATCTCATCCCCTACCACATAAACTAAAGACTACTATGTAAGCTCTTAGTTCCTGGAGGGCAGGTACCACTCCTTGAACCACAGTGAAATTCTTGTTATTATTTTACCTCTTTACTGAGTGAATATTCTTACAAGGGACAGAGTATCTCGGTCCCTAAACTCTTTGGTAACAGGACCCCTTTGCACTCTTAAAAGTTCCTCCCTCCTAAAAGCTTTTATGTGGGTTATATCTATTGATATTTATCATATTAGAAATTAAAACTAATAAATGTTTAACATATTCATTCATTTTAAAATAACACAAATAAATGCCATTATGTGTTAACAGAAATTTTTATGAAAAATAACTATTTTCCAAAACAAAAAAAAATTTAATAAGAAAAGTAACATTGTTTTACGTATTTTTACAAATTTCTTTAATGTCTGGCTTAATAGAAGACAGCTAGATTCTCCTATCTGCTTCTGCATTCCCTCTGTTGTGATATATTGCTTTAGTTGAAGTATTTAAAGAAAATCTGGCCCCATAGACATGTGTAGCTGGAAAGGGGGGAGTATCTTAATAAGCAAATTGCACCAGTATTATTATAAAAATAGTTTTGACCCTAAGGACTCCTTAAAAGGATCTCAAGGACCCTCAGGGGTCTCCCAACTGCACTCTGAGAACCATTGGCATAGTAGACACAGAATTGGACATGGGTTCAAATCCAGCCTCAAACACTCATTAGCGGTTTACTTGGGTTTACTTGGCAAGTCACTGCATCTCTCTGGGCCTAGGTTTCCTCATCTATAAAATGAGGGATTGGAAATTGATGGCCTCTCCAGTCCTTTCCAGCTCTAAATCTATGTTCCTATGTTTTCTAATGCTAATCACAAGGATGGGCAGTTCTTTGGAGATAGGAGTAGCAGAGGGGGAGGGAAAGGAATGAGCATTTACACAGCGTCTTCTATGTGCCGGACCCTGTGCTAAGTGCTTTACAAATATTATCTCATTTGATCTTACAACGTGAAGTAGGTGCCATTTTTATCCTCTTTTTGCAATTGAGAAAACTGAGGCAAACAGAGATTAAGCAACTTGGCCAGGGTCACACAAGTAGTATTGAAAGCTGGATTTGAACTCAGGTCTTCCTGACTCCAGGTTCATGGTGTCACCTGTTAGAATGCTGATACCAACTGCAGGTGCTGATTTTACCACTTTCTCCAAAAACAACTGGGTTGGAATGTGGATAAAACTAGAATAGAGCAACTGAAGCTTTGCTCCAAAACAGAAATTTAGAGGGTGCGAAGATCAACATAAAAAACAACTGAAATTTTCAAATGAATGTTAAAATATTTCTTAAACTGAGCTTTGCATCTATTTATCCTTAAACTACATATAAACAACTGAACCTGGTACTAGTTACCAAGAATGATTCATTAAAAGACGAAGCTAAGCGATTGTACCTCTAGCCCCTAGCCACTCACCCCAGCAGAGCTCCTCCCTGGCCTGGCCATGTCCTGCCCCATATCAAGTCTCCTCAACAGAAGCTTCACAGCGTTCGATCTGTCTTGGGCTCTCTGCACACTCTACTGAATTTGTCCTTAAAAAGCTGATTTCAGGATGCATTAGAGCTGCTTGCCTCAGGCACAAAACTAGTCCTGGGCTTGGGGAGTACACTTTATTTCCATATAGGCTTGCCAAACAGCCAGGAGTTCATCATCAGGGTATGTACATAACCACGGAAGCCAGTTGTTTCTATATCAATGAGTCCATATTATGGCCAATCGTTATTATTAGACTGGATTTTGGGGATTCTAAACCCATTACCCAAAACTGGCTGGGTAGAGTGAAGACACACTTGCGTACCTTTCCAGGTCCAACAGAGAGGAATCAGAGGAGTTTAGGGGAAAGAGCTCTGCACTTAGAGCCAGGAGCCTGGGACGCAAGGACCTCACCATCATTTACCTCTCATAGGGAAGCTCAGAGCACTCAGGGTCAAGTCCCATATTTCACATTTCCTATGTCTGTGACTTTGAGCAAGTCATTTAACCATGGGCCTCAGTTTCCTAATCTGTAAAATGAGAAGGTTGAACTTGATGGTCTCCGAAACCCTTTTCAGTTCTTGGTTGCTCTGAGATTTTGGCAAGTTCCTTAACCTCTCATCAATTTCATTCTTCATCAAACATGTCATGACCTTTCTTCTGCACCTCAGCATCGTTCAGTCAAACAGAGTTCCAGGCATTATGTTAGGTGCTGAGTATGATAAAAGAAAAGGGAGTCTGTCCCTTCCCTCAAAGAGCTTACATTCTGTTAAGGGAGAAGCACCCTGGCATAATGGATAATGGGTAAAGGGCCAATCTGAGTCAGGAAGTCCTGGGTTCAATGTCTGCCTGTAATATACTGGCTGTACGACTTTGGATGAGGTATTTAACCTTCAGGACCCCCAGGCAACTCTCCAAATAAAAATTATGGACTAGTCATTTCTCAGAGAAGGAGGGCCCCCTATAACGATAAGCCCATTTGTGAAAGCACACACACACACTAACACACTGTCTGTTTCTGTTTCTGTCTCTATCTTTCCACCTCTCTGTCTTTGTCTCTGTGTCTCTCTGTGTCTTCCTATGTCTCTGTGACTCTATCTGTGGTGTGTGTGTGTGTGTGTGTGTGTGTGTGTCTCTCTCTCTGTGTGTGTCTCTCTCTCCCATAACTGTATCATGGATGTGAAAGAGATTGGGAAAATATACAATGCTAAACTAATGCAGGAGCTTTCTAACCCCTGACCCAACTATATGTGGTTCATAGGGAAGGGGAGAGACAGGGGCGGCCACAGGCAGCCCTTGGTACACGGTTGTTGGATCAAAGAATGGCAGCCTCTTCCTGCCTTTGCCCTGTTCCTCTCTCATCCCTATTAGCAGCTGCGGCCTGTCTCACCGTGGGTGAGATCCCAGATTTAGAAGCCATCTGGTTCTTCATTTTACACGTGAGGACCTGAAGCAGAGGAAGGGTTGCTGACATGCCCAACACAGCCGTGAGTGGTGAAGTCGCAATTCGAATCCAGCTCTCCTTACTGCCCTGCTCCCACACCCACACCCACACAGCCCAAGCAGCATCCGCACTGATTGCCTGCAAACTCAAGGGCAGGCTGCCCAAAGTACCGCGTCCGCCCCTGCGCATCTCCTGGGTTGAGGCCGGGCTTGTGTAGCCCTGTCCCCGGTGTTCCCGGGGCTGGGCAGCCGGTGCCCAGATGCTGGGATGAGCTGCGGCTCACGTCCTCCCTCCTCCCATTCCCACTCCCAGCCTCTGCTGGCATCGCTGGCCCGCTGCCCCAGGATGCGGTGCGTCAAGAGCTGGAGACCGGGGCGCGCAGGTGGGGAGCCTCGGGGCTCTGCGCATCCTTGCCCACCGATGCCCAGAGCTGTGCCGGGCGCAGAAACGAGCCAGCGCGCTCCGTTCCCAATACAGAGGTTGGTCCCCCCCACCCCCAACCCGGTGTGTTCGGGGAACGTGGTCCCCTCCCCCATACCCCTTATCTAATGGAAGGAAATTTACTGGAGAGAGGCCAGGAGTACAAGCCATGATCCCCAGCGAACAGGACTGGCTCTCCCATGCGCGAACGCTAAACCATGTTCCAGCAGCGATCCCTGCACAATCGCCCTCCCAGGACGCAGACGCATCTTTGTTCTCGCCGTCCCCCACCTGTGAGTCTGAGAGCGAGCCCGCAGCGCCCAGCACCTAGTCCTCGGTTCCTCTCCCCCGAGCCGAGGAGTACGTCTTTAAAAAGATGAAACCCAGCCACATGACAGAGCTTTATTTGCATTCTCAATGACACCAAAACTGGCCTTTCGCGTCCCAGTTCTCAGTCAGGGGCTTTCATTTCCTTCCAAAAGGAATCCGACCGAGGACCCGCCTGGCTCTGAGCTAGCCCGCTTAGCAACCCTTGGCTTGCTCCACAGCCTCGTGCCTAGCTATCTGCTGCCTGCAATCTTGCTGTAATATGCCCTGCGTGGGTACCCCCCCTTCCCCTCCCCTTTGCAGAAGTCTGCAGATGGATGGATGGTAGGAAGCATAAACATTTCCCCTGCAGTTTTGCACTGGCCTCTGAGCCCAAGATGGTTCATTCCCTTCCCATTCTTCTGGTTTTCTACCATACTCATTTAAAGGATATGCCATATTTAATCATTTTCCCCTGCTCTCGGTCAGAGGGCTTGGGAGGGGGAGGGGAAGGGGAATGTATATCTCTCCCTCCCCATCCTTGTTTTTACTCTGGATGTTACTGCAGCGGCACTGAGGTGACAGGAGCGCTCTGTGGCTTCTCTAAGCCCACGGTGCTCTCAGAGGCAGGCAGTGCCCCCCAACTTCACCGCTGGGGACTAGGTTGACTCCCAGAGGGCTGAGAAGCAACCTTAGGAATATTAATTTTTTAAAAGTTGTTTAGCTACATTCTTCAGATGACTAGCATAATGACTGCATAAGACAGAGAGAGAGGGAGAGCAGAGACAGTGTGTGTCAGCCTGTAGGAAGTTAGGACTATAAAGGAAGTGGGGAGGGGTCTAGTAAAGACAGCATCATCATCTCTGAGGAGTCCTGAAATGGTTCAGGGCAGTTCAGTTGGACACAAGTTTGCCTCGGAGTGTTTTCCTTTTGTCAATAATTAATCACTGGAATCAGCCTGGCAAGACTGGAGTTTTAACGACAGTGCAGAGGGTGAGTCAGAAGAAACACCTCGGGCTGATAAATCCATCCGTAACTCCAAGCAGCAGGAAGCCAGTGTCCATACTGCTCATCAGCCCACAGGGCCATCCACTCAGAACAAGAGGTAAGCTTTTACTTCCATTGATTTTCCTTTTTTTTGGGGGGGGGACCATGCCTTAGTTTCCCTGGAATAGATCTCTGTACTTTTATAAGGAAATACATAGACCCAGGCTGGGCTTTAAAGTACTTTGACACAATTTGTTCTATTTGAATGAACTTTAGTCTCGCGGGAAGGAAAGAACTGGCCTATTGCTCTGTTTCTTAATATTTCAAAAAACTTAGCTGTTTCCCAAAGAGAAAACAAACTTTATACTCTGAAGTGATTGACACTTTGTCCAAAATTCGTAGGATGGTACCTTAACTACCTGTCCACTTACAGTCTGTTTATAATTATTGATTCATTAAGGAAAGGTCACCCAGCCACTCCAGTTTATTTCTACTCCCCTAGCCATTCTTTTCCCCTTTCATCATAAGGCAACTTGTGTTGGGTAGCCACTGCTGGTAATACTCTGCCTGCAATGGGTCAAGGAAATGCAAGTGAAGAAGTTCAGCAATGAGCCGTTACCACACCTCCCCAAGACAGTCAGCAAGATGAATTGCCCCAAGATGCTCATGGATGTTTACGGTTTCACTTTTGTGAACATAACAAGGGTCTTACTGGATCCCAACATTGGTTGAGCTGAAGTAGCCTGTCTCTGAGCTGCCCATGTATGAACTGAGTCTACCCTATAAACCCAATCATATCAAAGGAGAAGTAAGAAAGAACTTGCAAGTGAGTTTTTGAAAAGTTGAAAGACCAGAAATCTTAGCCCCCATTCCCAAAGGCACATCTTCCTATAGTTAAAAGAGGATGGTTTCAGACAAAGTATTTGACCTATAAGTAGCTTTTTTTCATTGTTTGAATTACATGGAAATGAGGGATGCAGAAGATCCTTCTTTTCTAAGTAGCATTTTAGACAGACCCAGGGACTGAAGAGGTTTGTGTAATTTCAGTTCAGCAGCTGAATTATTCCCATGATGCTCTGGAATAAACCTAAGGTTTTTATGGTTTAGATATGCATGATAGAGTGTATACTCTATGGTGAAATCCCTATCTCCACCACCAAAATTTCATGGGCACTGGAATAAAACTCAGAGTCTCTAGGATAACCCAAATACCGTTGAAGAACTCTCTGGCAGCCACAAATTAAGATTAGCTTATCAAATTGAAGGCTAGGACAACTGTCAATAAACAGGAGGTGACTGTCATCTCCAGTTGGAAGTCAACAGCCATTGAACTTTCATTGATAGTCTCAGTATACTCAAGGGTGCTTTCAAAAGTCGCTTCCGTCATGTGGCCTCCGAAGGCCCTCAGCCCTTTGAACTCTCAGAGTCTTTGGAACTCAGTCATAATATCATACAGTGGGAACTGGAAGGGCCCAATTAGTCCAGTTGCCCCATTTTGCAGATGAGAAACCTGAAGCAGAAAAAGGTTATGTGGAGGTTCACAACTAGTATCCGTATACATTTTTTTTATGCTCCCCACTAGACTCTGCAAGGACTGGGGCAAGTCCTATTCTTATTTATTCTTCTCTCAGTACCAAAGAGCCCTGATTTGGAATCAGAGGAGCTGGTTTCAAATCTGGACCCTGCTACTTGGACCTGTATGACCTTGGGCAGATCACTTAATCCCTTATGAACCTCACTTTCCCCATCTATAAATTGGGGGGGAGCCTCTATAACCTCTAATATCCCTTCCCCTACAGCTCTGAATCTACAATCCTATAAGCCTTCCAGCTCTAAATCTATAATGCTTTGCCCATGTATTGCAAGGGAAAATTTTTTTGTTGTATTGGACTGACTAAGAATTTTGCAATCATTGGTCTCCATCCGATGTGGGCCAATATATTAGTGTTAAATATTTTCTCTTTGGAGAGCAGTGTGACATAGCAGATAGAGAGCCAGGAAAACCTAGTTTCAAGAAGGGCCTTTGACACTTCATGCTCGTGGAAAACCACTTCTCAGTGCTCTAGGCAAGGCTCAAAGCCTCTAAGTTGTAGAGAAAGTACCAGCTTGTGCTGGCAGAGGGAGTCACTGACCAGGAAGAAGAGCAGATCCCTACACTGATGAAATCACAGGCTTAGTCCCTGCCCCCATTTTATCACTGAAAAAGTTAAGACCCACCCTGTGGAGGAGAGGGGAGAGGAGTCTATGTGAGTGTCACAAACAGGCAGAGAATCTGTAACTTGGAGGTCATAAACACCGGGACTTAATCCAGGGGCGTTTCCCTGAGGCTTGTCCTGAAACCACACCAAGACTTTTGAAACAGTGAAGCTGTGCCAGGAACAGACCTGCAATCACACCTGGGTCCGCTTTGCCTAGGTCTATCACCCTGTATAATCCCCAGACAATTTATTTTTGAAGAAAAACCAGTAATATGGCCTGACAAGAAAGAATTCTGGTAGCCTTAGGGTCTCTATTCTGCCTCACTCAGACCTAGGTGGGCATTACCATCCTGAGATCCCTTTCAATGAACAAGAGTAGAAAAAAAAGAATGCAGAAGAGGCAAAAAGCCAGAGAAAGGAGTCAACAGTGGTAGACAGAGTGTGAGGTGTTCCCCCTAGCTGCCTAGAGAGCAGCACTTTTCATCACCCTTTTTCATTCTTTGGAATACTTGTAAATTTCTAAAATTTACTCTGGCATAGCTGGGGGTACAGTGAGGTGGTAGAGGGGACAGTTATCTTGTTTCTCTTTTTATCTTTCTCAGCATCTAGCACACAGTAGGTCCTTAATATTTGGAGAATTATAAATGTGTGTATTTATTATATGTACAAATGTACACAGACATATATACATATGCGTGTCAATTCTTTGAGGAAGGATTCATTAGATTGTCAATATGGGCACTCTCTCCACCTGTGCAAATAGCAGCCCCTTTGGCTTTCTAGAGTATGCTCCAAAATTAGTTGGTCCTTGAACAACACACACACACAGTCATTCCTGGGTCTACAATGAATGTTTGTACCTTAGTAGAACCTGCCATTGGCATAGGATTCAAATTCCAGTTGTACTCTATATTATGATGAGACAGCAGACTTAAGTGTTAGATTGAGTCAAAGGACCATGGGTAAAATCTGGGTTGTAACACTTGGAACCCATGAGACTGGGCAACTCATATGACTTTTCTATGCCTCAGTTTCCTCCTCTGTAAAATGGAATATTAGACTAAATGACCTCTAAGGTCCCTCCCAGTTCTGATTACTATGAGCCTGTGACTTATTAGATGATATGTGAAGAGACAAGCACAGACACAGAAAAATAGAGAGACAGAAAAGAGACAGAGATAGACATAGGCACAGAGAAAGAGACAGTGGAGGAGAGAGAGAGGGGAAGGGAGAAAGGGAGAGGGACAGAGAAGTGGCTTAGAAGGCCAGCCTAGTCTTGGATTCAGAAAGATTTAGATTCAGTTCCTGATTCTGACACATTCTACATGTATTCCAATATATAAATGAGAAAAAAAGAAAGAAAAGAAGTTTTTTAATGAATAAAACAAAGAGATTTATATATTTGAATTCACACATTTGTGGATAGCTATGCGGCCATGAACAAGACAGTTAACTTCTAAGAGTCGATAGTTAGCATCAGTTGAAAGAGCTTCCATACCATGAGCACTGAGAATCCCCTAGACAGATGATATCACAGGACTGAGTCAAATACACATGCACATGTTCACACACGTCCATCCTCCACTGAAGTCATATTCCAAAACTTTCTTGTAGAATAAAAGGGACTGTGGGACTTCAAAGGCTTTGCCAGTGGAGAATAAACTAAAACAGGTCCTACCAGACTGGAAAGATTTCAAATGAAGGCCCAGAAACAGCCTGCAATCAGAAGAGGCAGATCACCAGAAGGTTGGCCAACAGATAGGGAATTTATTTTGGCCACAGCAGCTCAGGAAACTAGCTCTTAAGGTATGAATGAGGTTAGAGCCAGGTTGGGGTGACCAAAACCCATACGAATCAGAGCTTTTTTGAGGTCTAAAGGATACCGCCACATGGAAGTAAGCCACAGCAACTGCCCAGGTCCAGAAGGGATGGGCCAGGGAGGGGAAAGGCAGTGTGGGAAGGGGAAAAGGAAAAGGGCTCCCATCAATCCTCTCATTCCAGTATCTTGAATCACCCTAGAATTGTCTCTTAAGAAAATATGTACCTATGAATACATGGAAATCCTAGTGAGAGACAGCTTGGCGTCAGAATGGAGGTACCCTCAACAGTAACTAGGTTTGAATTCCATCTTTGACAGTTCACCAGCTGTGACATCAAGGGTAAGTCATCTTCAATATATGAATTGTTTAACCTCTAGTACCTGCCTCATAGATTTGTTGAAGAGCTCAAATGCTGCTTCACTGCGTGGCACAGTTGATAGAGCACTAGGTCCAGAGTTAGGAAAATGTGAGTTCAAGTCCCACTTCAGACACTTACTAGCTGTGTGACCTTGGGCAAGTCACTTAAGCTGTCTGCCTCAATTTCCTCAACTGTAAAATGGAGAAAATAATAGCACCTGCCTCCTCGGGTTGTTGTGGGGACCAAATGATTGAGTGATAAAATATTTGTAAAAGCACCAACTGCAGTGCCTGACACATAGCCTGGTGCTATATAAATGCCATCAGTGGAAATCCTCTTATGGAATACTCATCTCCAGATTCCCAGATACCTGCCCTAGCAAATTATTTCTACTCCTGAGTTAGAAGAGTGAAAAGAGGAAGAAAACTGAGATTTCCAAATCATTTGATCAAAAAAAAAATCAGTAAACATTTATTAAGCACCTGTCATGTGCCAGGCACTGTGCTAAGCCGTGAGTATACAAAAAGAAGCAAAAGACGGTCCCTGCCCTCAAAGAGTTTACAGTCTAGTGTAATTCAGATCTAGTCTAAGAATTAATTCAATTGCAATTCAGTCTAATCTAATTCAGAGCTAGCAGATCTAATCCCAGATCAAAATCTAGCTCACCAGCTACTAAGGGGAGTTAAGAGGGAAATTCAGGAAGGAGTAGAACTCAGACATTGAATAAGGAATTCTAAAGGTCTAGCAAAAGACTGTCAGCAAGAAAAATTAGCATCCTGGGATTTAGGTAGATTTGTGCTGCCTTTGGAGATCATCTCATCTAAGTCCGTGGGTTTGTGGATGAGAAAGCTGAAGTCGGGAGAGATTAGGGGGCTTGACAAAAGTCATACCAGGAGGATGCTGCAGAGCTGCGACTGGACTCAGGTCCTCTGACTTGCTCTCTTGTGACATACCATTTCTCTCTTCTATCCTTGATCGCTTAGGTCTCTTAATTCTGGTAAATTCTGCTTCTTCATCCTCCAAACACACAGACATCTTTGCCCTAAATTGTTCAGCAAGAGGCCCATTATGTCTTATCCAGTGCCTTGTACCCAATAGATCCTGAGTAAATATATACAGATAATGAGAAAGGAAAGCAAAATAAATGGCATGGAGGAGACAGAAAGTGAGTCTTGTCTGTACCTGTAAGGATGCAACATTGCCCTCAGTGGCCCTTTAAAAAGTTGGTAATACCAACATGAGGCTTTTCATCTAAACAGCCAACACTCTATTTGTAAGTGGAAATGAAAACAGTGTAGGCAGCTTCTTCACAGGTCAAAAGGATGGCTCCAACTTACACAGCCTCCCTTCATTCTCCTCCACTTATCGTAGAGAATGAGCTAAGGACTCTTGTCCAGTCATGTAGATATTAATCTTACACGGAGCGAGTCATAACACTAATAGTAACATCTAACATTTGTACACAGTACTTGAAATTATAATTATGTAAAATACAGTACTTGATTCTAGCCAGTGGAAATATACAGTAAGAATTCTAACAAAATGACTACTTAAGCTCTGCCTCAATTTCCTCAACTGTAAAAAGGAAATAATAACAGCACCAACCTCAGGAGGGTTGTTGTGAGGATAGAATGAGATGAAATATGTCAAGTGCTTAGCACAGTGCCTGGCATACAGTAGGTGTTATATAAATGCTCGTCCCCTTCCCTCTCTTCACTTCAGGGAATTCATTATTGGCATGAATCAGGATCTCTAATTTAAGGTTTGCAAAGTGCTTTTTACATGTTAGCAATAAGCCTGTGTGGTAGGTAGTTGCTATCAGCCTCATTTTACATATGAGGAAACTGAGGCAGACAGTGGTTAAGTAACTTGACTCAGGTCACATAACTAGTAAGTGTCTAAGGCAGGATTTGAACTCAGGTCTTCGAGACACCCAATTCTGCACTCTACCCACTTAGCTACCTCTAGAGTATATTATATACTAGAGTCTTATAAACCCTAAATTGATAGCTGTCATGTATCAGAAACTGCATAGTTTGTGAATTTTATAGAACAGTTGCTGGAATACCAGTTATGCAGAGAAGAGAAAATATTTTTAAATTTAAAGCTAATTTGAAACACTCAAGTGAATAAGTTATAGGATCATAGATTTATAGCAGTAGAGCTCTTAAGAGTCCAACCAATACATCTTACAAACGAGAAAGCTGAGGCCCAGGAAGATTACATGACTTCCCCAACGTTACACACATCAGCAGAGGGATTTGAACCCGGATCGTCTGACTCCAAGTCAAGCCTTTTCCTCTGCCTTGTACTGTCCCTCTACCTATAACTACATGCCCACACGGTCTAAGAGTTAAAAGGTACCTCAAAGCCTATCTAGTCCACTCCACGCCCACTCCATCATACCACGCACATGGCCACTAAGACTTTGTTTGAAGACTCTCAGTGAGAGAGAGTCTGTCACATTTTAAACAAGCCTTTCCATTCTTGGATTGCTCTGTTAGGAAGTTTTTCTTGCAGCAAGCTTAAATTTGCCTTTCTGTTATCTTCCATCCAATTCCTTCTCATTTGATCTCTGGGATGCTATAAAATAAATCCAATCCCTCTTCCATATGTTGTCGTTCAGCCATATCTGACTCTTTGTGACCCCACTTGGGGTTTTCTTGGCAAAGATACAGGAGTGTTTTGCCATTTCCTTCTCTAGCTCATCTTACAGATGAGGAAACTGAGGCATACAGGGTTGGGTGACTTGCCCAGGGCATACAGCTAGTACGTGTTTGAGGCTAGATTTGAACTCAGAAGAATGCATCTTCCTAACTCCAGTCCTGGCACTCTATCCACTGTCTTCCATACAACAACCTTCAAATACATGCTGGTACCCCTGCTTCCAAATCTTCCATTTTTCAGGATAAAAATTCCCAACTCTACCAGTTTCTTCATTTATGGCATGAACTCCAAACCTTACACCATCCTATTTGATCCATCCTTCTAGACCCATCATAGCTTATCTATCACCTACCTAAAACGCAGTGCCCAGAATTGAATGTCACACCCCAAATCCTCCATGTGTAGGACCAAGGGGAACTATGACCTCTCTCCTTCTACTCACTCTTCCTCTCTCACCTGATGCCTACCATGGTGCTCCATACTGCTGATTCCTTTTGAGCTTGCTATCCCATAATAATACCCCTAGATCTTCTTCACGGGAATGACCTGGAGACCACACCAGCACCCCCAGCCTTTGCTCAGGGAGTTGACTTCTTAATCCTTGCAGTACTCTGTGATGCAAACTCCCTGTAAGTCTTAACCCTCAGATTGATAGCCACATTTGTCATAAGGCCTGGAGTGGCACAAAATTAGGGATCCAGCTATTTCTCTATCAGATAGCATCATGATTGAAATAACAATGCACGATGCCAAGAGCTGCATTTCACACACAGTGTGAACCGGGAGTCACTCCTCTGTCTAGTGACACAGTACTAAAATAATCTCAAAATCAAAAGCAGGAGGAGACAACTAAAGCCAATCTAACTATCTGTTTACCACACATAGGCCCATCATCTGGTTAGTAGAAAATATTTTTCATTTCCTAACTGGTTGCCTTGGAACAATATACACACCCAGAATGTGACCTGAAGGGAAGATGAGACAATTTTCTATGAAGCTAACCTAAGCTCCATCCTGGGCTCCAGCCAAATGTAAAGTTGACCAATGCTGTTCCTTTTAGGTCAGGGGTTCTTAACCTGGAGTCTACGAACTTGGCTTTTTTCAAATATATTCCCAAGGCTGTACTTCAATATAACTGACTTCTTTTGCAACCCTTTGTGTTTTATTTTGCACACTTAAAAACATGATTCTGGGAGTCTATAGAAACTCCCAAAGGGGACTGTGACACACTAAAAAAAAACAAATCAACAATGTTTAAGCACCTACTGTGTGCCAGGTGTGTACTGAGCATAGGTTAAGAATCCACATTTTAGATGTTTCAGCAAATTTAGGCTTGCTTTGCCATCTTTGCTTCCATGAATCATATTATTATTTTAAAAGATATCAGTTGAAGTCTCTATAAAACTAAAAATGACTTTACATTTGAAGTATCCTTAACCCAAGACAGTCATTCAGCTATTATGAGTTAGAAAATGATGTGCTGGCATCCCTATATACACTGACCTTGTGTGATTTCTTTCTTCTTCCAAAAAGACCATGAATACCATTGTTTATGACCTATTTGCTATAAAGTGAAATACTTCTCATTTAACATGCAAAGAACAGATCTCCCTCATTATAATAAACTACCATTTTCCAAACATTGGTGTAGATAAAACTGGAGAAGACATGGTTGCCAATGCACATGTTTGCACCAAATATTTGTGTCTGAATGTGTCTGAAGGAGGACAGCAAGGATAGCCATGTCACCTTGCCTCCTTCTCAGTAAATCCAGTGGCTCCCTATTACCTCCAGGATCAATTACACAGTCCTCTGCCTGGGATTTCAAGCTCTTCACAAGCTGGCCTCGTTCTGCCTTTCCAGGCTGCTCATACATCCCTCTCTCCTTCTGCACACTCAGTGACCCAACAGCGTCAGCCTACTGACACCTTGTAGATGCCATTCCGTCTCCCATCTAGCCTTCAGCCAGCTGTCCCCCGTGTCCAAAACGCTCCCTCTCATCCTCAACACCTTTTCACTTGTATGGCTTCCTTCAAGACTCAGCTCAGACCCTGCCTTCTGCCCAGGTCCTTTCCCTCTCCTCCTACCTGCTGGTGAAGAACCATCCAACCTCTCCATATGTGTGCTGTATGAACATTGTGGTTTACACATTGTCTCCCCCACTGGAATGAGAATTCTTTAACAACAGGGACTCTTTGGCATTGCGTTGTATCTTAACACAGTGCCCCATGCGCTTAATAACATGCTTAATAGCTGGCATTTCTATAGTGCTTTACAAATAATACTGCATTTTAGTCTTACAACAACCCTGTGA